AATATTTTGTATTTTCGTTGGTCGTTTGGAATCCTACTTCATTTTGTTTTTTTTTATTTTTTATGTTCTTGTTTGTGTTGATTTTTAAAATAATATTTATAGTATTTCTTTAGTTGCAATTGTGATACTTGTTGATTTTACACAAACAATAATTTTCTTTATAACATTTATGAGAGACAGTATTGAATAGACATGCTGAAGGAATATCAACTATACTGATGACAAGTGAAACTAATACTAGTCTTGACACAAGTCCTTGTTCAAGAATCTGTGAGCTAAGAGTGTCCATCTTCCCTGCTATTCCTGTTCTTCCAAGCTGTTTTCAAGTTCATAATTATCATTGCATATCATAAGTCATAACATTAATTAATTGTTTGTTTTTTATAATAAAATAAAATAAAACACTTGATAAAACAGTAACATGTAAAATCAATACCTTCTTTTAGCTGGAAACCTCCACTAAAGTATTGCAGTAAGTTGATTTCAAGCATAGCTTGGTAAAAAAATAACCAGAGCTGCAGATCTGATCTGAGCATGCGCGACCACACCCAAATTTTGGAGCACATGGCAAGCTTCTTTAATTAACAAAATGGCGGCATGTAGCTAAGATGGCTCGATCCAGCAGTCACAGTATCACTTTTTTCTTACTTGAAGAATGATCTGATGGGACATGGACCTGCGCATAGACTGTTGGAGTAGATTGGTGTAAGAATTATTCTTGTAGCACCAACTGATACTGAGATACACACCGACAACTGGACTGACAGGACTTGATGAAGAAGATGATGATGAAGATGAAAAAAGGTGGCTGAACAAAACGGCCGGTTCGCCGATTTTTGACTTTTCACTTAGAAAAGGTCTAGAGCCACGCTAGTTGTACCATTGGAGTCCTCTGATCAAGACAAGGTCCTCTATAAAGTCTGGTAAGCATAGGAGCTCGTTTTCCCAGTATAGCAAGGCTGCAAAAGTCGTGGCAGCCATTTTGTTTGGGGGTGAATCCTACTTAGTAACGCTACCGCGTTACTAATAGTACAGGGACTTTGGCCCGATTTTTGAACAATTTAAAAAATTCGTAAAAAATCCAAATTTGATCGGAATCAGTTCAAACTTGATATACAACATTAGAACATGTATATGTATAAGAAAAAATTATAAAAATGATAAATTCTCTCCTAGTCATTTTTGCTGAAATTTGGCCCGAGACCATGTACTATAGTACAGGGACTTTGACCTGATTTTTGAGTAACTTTAAAAATTCGTAAAAAATCCAAATGTGATCAGAATCAGTTCAAACTTGGTATACAACATTAGAACATGTATATGTATCGGGAAAAATTATAAAAATTAAAAATTTTCTCCTAGTCATTTTTGCCAAAATTTGACCCAAGACCATGTACTATAGTACAGGGACTTTGAACTGATTTCTGAGTAACTTTAAAAATTCATAAGAAATCTGAATTTGATCAGAATCAGTTCAAACTTTCTACTCAACATAAAATATCTATTATGTATCAAAAAATTATAAAAATGGAGAATTCTCATGAGCCATATTTGATGAAATACTATAGCACATGATTGTCTTATTGTTTAGCTTTTTACATGTGCATATTATACCTCAGCTTTAGATAAAGGCAAGCGTCACAAAAGCAACTTGTCTACTACCGGAAATAGACCCTATAATACAAATCACTGGATACTCGTAGCTTCAATTTCAAGTCTCACTGTATTACTGAGCATATTAGTACTATACTATGGTAAGACCTCCATCTGAACCATTATTGACATCATTATATTATCCTAATGCAGTCGAAGCAAAAGCAAGCAAGTCAGAAGACTCTCCTTCAGACCTACCTTATTATACAGAATCAGTTGTTTTAGATGTCGACGTGACAGAAAGTCCTAAATGCGTCTTATCATGTGGTAAGAATAGATGCTGATTGTCATTATAATAAGTGTTAGATGCATACTTTTACATACTTTATTGTTTTCTGTATTATAGACTCAACCCCTCGACTAAAAGAGATGCTAACTGTTCTTGAGACACTTATGGATTGGAAGGAGTTTGGCATTAATTTGGGCATTGAGTATCACGAGATTAAAAAAATAAAGAAAGAAAATAAATTGATCAACGACTCCAAAATAAAACTGTATAATTATTGGCTTAACGCCGACACTGCAGCTTCTTGGCAGAAAGTGATAAATGCTTTAGAGAGAATGCAACTAAAGACACTATCCTCTGAGATAAGGAGAAAATATTGCAGTCAAACTTGCAACAGTGATGCTGTTCATTCTTAAATTTTATTATAATAATCACTGTTATTGATATCATGAAGGGCGTGTCAGCTTGACCACGTTTATAAACGTGGGCTCTTAATTTCCGTTGGCTTGTGTTTGTACTTTGAAGATTCGTTGTGTCATCTCCAGTTTCATGATCATGGCGGCGTTCCTACTTCTCTTGTTCTTTAGTACAGCCTCTGCCACAGCTAAAAGTAAGCTATGATATCTACAGTACAGCCTATAAAGGAGTCTTCGTTATTTTCATTTGTATATAGGCTGTACTGAAGGTCCATCAAACTACACTATCATGCCTCCCTCTAGTGAAATTGTCTGTAGTAATGAATCAAGCTGCCTCGACTTAAACCAGACGTGTATCAATATTAATAGCTCTAGTCTCACTGCTAAAAAGTTCAATTATCATCTTGGTATGCTCTTCGAAAATGCTGTTAAAAGTGATAGTTGCAGTGAATTAAACGTTCTAGGATTTGTGTACATTTGTTGTTCAGAAATGGGTGCAAGTCTCTCTACTTGTACTTATAGTTTTATTGAGCACTGTGTTAATCATACGGCAATAGGCAGAGCACAAGTCTTATCGTGTGTTGATAAGTTTTATGGATTTTGCGAGAATGGTTCTAATCCTTCTTGCAGAGAAGCGATTGAAGATGTCATTGATGATGTATTAAAGAATAGATTTGACTCACCAGTTGGTGTGAGTGTGCAGTATATTATGCTTTGTTATTAATGTCAGCTATGACAAATGTATTATTTAGGAAGAAATATTAGCCAGTATACTGGAGAAGGAGAATGGGCTCAGGAAATTCAATGTGATCAAAAGAGTTGTCTCTCTTTTACGGGGAAAGTCACAAAGTGCGAAACATGCTCAAAAGTTCTTGAAAGAAGCAGAGAAAGTCATTGAAGCCTTTGAAAATGATATTGCAAAAAGCTCCAGCATGATTGACTATGAAGATGTTAAAGTGTGTGCTCTTATCAATGCATGCATTCTCATATAAATGTTATACTGAGATAAGCTAGGCCAATAACAGCTATGCATGTTATCCTGTTTATTCTGAAAGTAAACCATGACAGTTAATGCCATTATTTATTTATTCCACTGTTAATGACAATGTCAAATTATGATAACACTAGACCACCCTGGTAAACATATCCATGCACAAACACGCACACACACACACACACATATGACTGTATACACAGCAGTTACAAAGTTTTTTTTGCTGCATTGTCTCTTTCACTTTGCTACGCCAATAATGTTTACTATATTTTCATTTAGAACCTACTGTATGCACTGGACAATGCTTTTAATGGCAGTCACATCTCTCTTCTCTCAGTCAGTGATGCAATTACTACTTTATATGTATCTTCAATGCAATATTTTAGAGTAATGATGAATATTCTGGTCCTAATTTATTGAGTAAGCTCAAAAGACTCAGTAAAATATTTGGCAGAGCTATACTTTATGGCAGCGGGAGAATAAAGAGCCACTTCAATTTCAGTGGGAATAACTTGGGTACATTATGCATCAGAGCATTGTGCTTATTGTCATTCATTATATCTGCATGTGTGTACATGTTTATATATAGATGTGAAGTTTAGGGTCATAGACAAAGAAATGATAACATTTGAACAGATATATGAGTCAGGTATGTTCCAATGGCATTATATCATAATTGTTGATGATGCATGACAGAAAATGGTAGCAAATCTGTCTTCATTGAAGTCCCAAAGAATGCACTGTGTTCACAATCACAGTTACAATTATCAACTGATGATAATTATACTTATACTTTTGATGAAATTGATGATAAAGACGATATACCTGATAAGTTTAGAAATTGTTTCACAGTTGATTTTTCTAAAGGTACACATGCTTATGTAGCTATCAGCCATGTTAAGTTTATTATTATGCACATAATAACCTTCCTCCACAGGCTGTAGGCAAGTTTTAGTAGTATATCATGCACACGATATTGAAAGATCCTTTGAAGAAGCATCAAACAAGTAGTCCCTTTTAATATTGAATTCTATCTTATTTGTCATCATATAGTAGATCTACTCTAGTCAGTCTAGTAGTCTCAGTTCAAGCAATATCTGATAATACAGTGAACATTTCTGATACTGTTCAACTGATGGATAATGTATCATTGATATTTAACATTACTGAAGTATTGATACACGGCGCATTTATCATTATTCATTAC